CTAATTCTAATTATCGTCACCAAAATCAGCACTAGTAATGGGGAAACATAGGACTGGCAAATATGAATAAAAGTGGGAAATGATTGGAGGGAAAGTTACTTCCCACCCCAGAGTCTTAAATGGTCTTGTAATTGCCAGACCTCATCAGTGTGCCCCCCAGTCCCCTCTCGCAACTGCTTTGCCTGGTTGCTGCTGCTGGTTCTCGGGTGGCAGCTCTCTCTCCTTCCACCTTGCCAGCCTGTCTTTCTTGCTCCCTCCCACCCCAATGCCTGAAATATTGTAATATTCGCATGCCGTGTTCGCTGACACACGTCATTTCCCCAAGGAGATTTATTTTGCTTATTGGAATACTTACATCCTGCCTTTCCCAATATCAGTAATGGCTCAAGGCAGCTTACAAAAAAACAACAACAAGGCACACCAGCAGTGGGCCAGTTTACTCCCACGTGACAAGCAGCGGACAACACTACGTAGAGCTTCACCCATTCTCAAATGCCCTTCTAAATATGGTAAGGTAAAGGTAAAGGTTTCCCTTGCTCGAAAGCCAGTCGGATCCGACTCTAGGGGGCGGTGCTCATCTCCGTTTAGCCAGCGCTGTCCAAAGACATTTCCGTGGTCATGTGGCTGGCATGACTAGACGCTGTGGGACACGGAACGCTGTTACCTTCCCACCGAAGCGGTACCTATTTATCTACTTGCAATTTCTTGCTTTCGAACTGCTAGGGTGGCAGGAGCCGGGGCCAGAAATGGGAGCTCACTCGGTCACGCGGCGGTATTCAGGTCTCGAACTGCCGAACTACAGACCTTCCGGTCAGCAGCTCAGCGTCTTAACCTCTGAGCCACCGTGGCCCCCCTAAATATGGTCGCCATGCATAATCTCCGAAAACAGAACAATGTGGGCACTGAGCCAGACAATGGTGTGTTGTAACAGGTCTTGACATTACCTGGGATGGGAAGCCTAGGAACAGTTTTATAATCTTATTCCTGTCCAGGGCCACTCAAGTAGTATGCACATATAGAGGGGGGGGCAAATGGAGGAGGGGTAATCCATACCAGATAAAGGCCAGGCCACTGTACCTGGCCAAGCATGAGTGGGTTAAGGAAGTTCAAACGAATCCATAGCCCTGTCAAGAGCCCTTTTGACTTGCTTTGAGCTGGATAGCGCAGGCAAGCCTGATCTCGCCATATCTCGGAAGCTAAGCAGGGCTGACCCTGGCAAGTACTTGGAAGGGAGACCTCCAAAGAATACCAGGGCTGGGACGCAGAGGCAGGCAATAGTAAGCCACCTCTCTGAAACGTCCAGGCCCCAACCATGACTTCCAGATGCACCCCTGCCCCCCAAAAAGAGTCCTTTTGACTTTGTATAGTATATTGATGTAAAAATCAGTTCGATGGAACCTACGTATATGCAACCGGTAGCAGCTTTAAAAAAAACAACCCACAAAACGAACTTTCCTGTCCAACCACTTTTGTTTCAGTGGGATCTAACCCAATCTATTGCTCACAGAAATTAATCTCGGCACTGAGATTATGGGAAAATGAGAAAGACCAGAAGGAAAACAAGATGCACGGGGGAGGAGAGGAACATCCTCTTGCGCAAGTTTTTTCCACTCACGCATCTATAGGATCCAACCCATCTATTTTTACACTTTACAGGGTAATATTAACTGGAAGGTATTCCAAGTAGTTCTGAAACCTGAAGTAGATTAATTTTTATACTCCACCCTTCTTTCTCCTGACCTGGGTCGCCCAGGCTAGCCTGAGCTCATCAGATTTCAGAAGCCAAGCGGGGTCGGCCCTGGTTAGTATTTAGATGGAAGACCCTGAAGGAAAACCATAGTCATCGCACAGAGGAAAGGCAGTGGCCGAGCCACCTATGAAATCTCTTGCCTTGAGAACCCTGTGGGGTTACTGTAAATCAGCTGTGAATTGATGGGGGGGGGGAAAATACTTTTCCAGGGCTCTTTTTGTAGAAAAAGCCCAGCAGGAACTCATTAGCATAATAGGCCACACCCAACAGCAGAAACTCATTAGCATATTGGGCCACCCCCCTGACAGCACAGCTCATTAGCATATTAGGCCGCACCCCCATGTTACCAGAAGTGTGGTCATCCAGCCACACCCACCTTTTGCTTGTTATTCTGTTTACCTTGTTTGCTGTCAAAACCCAGGGCTTTTTTGTAGCAGGAACGCCTTTGCATGTTAGGCCACACACCCCTAATGTAGCCAATCCTAATGAGTTTCTGCTGTTGGGTGTGGGCTATTATGCTAATGAGTTCCTGCTGGGCGTGGCCAACTCGGGAGCCAGCCGGAACTCCGTTCCTGTGCGTTCCTGCCCAAAAATAGCCCTGTTTTCTACCGATGGGAGTCCAAGGTGGGCATTCCTCCTGGCTTCTTTAAAAATGCCATTCCAAGATGATTGCAGCCATAGCCAAAAACGTGACAAACCTCATGGAGGGGATGGTCAGAAGCAGTGTTCCCTCTAAGCTGAGTTAGTGAGCTGGCTCACCATTTTTTAGCCTCCAGCTCACACATTTTTGTCTTAACTCAGGAAGGGATGGCTCCAGAGCAAACTACTTTATGCAGCAGCCAAATCGCTTGCTCACAACTTTAATGTAATAGAATTTTTGCTCAGAGGACTCCAGAGTTTAGCGGGAGCATTGGTCAGAAGGGAACTCTTGTGAAGATCTAAGTTGGTGCACACACTCATACCAAGAGAGATGGTCCTTCAGACATTGTCAGGCACTTTACGGAAACTGTTTGTACTAAGCACCTGAAACACTAACATACCAGCAGGGGAGAACTATCAGAGCACTTTAACCTTCCAGGACGTTCAATGGATGACCTCAAAGTGGCTGTTTTATTACAAAGGAACTTCAGGAACAGAATGGAAAGGGAAATTGCTGAATTACAAGTTATTACAACACTTGGAACAAAAACCTCCCCAGGACTCAACAGGGATATTGGATTTTTATCCCATTACATATGCTAACTCATTCAGTCCTCACATATGCATTCTCAGCAAGAAGGACTATAAATCCTCTGTATTTTAGTGTATTTCTTTTTCAGAATAGTATATTAGAATACGGAATGCAAGGAATATTGGGATGTCCGCTGACAACATTACACCCAGCTCAAAATATGCTATTAAGTGCCCTCCACGCCTGAGAGGAGAGAATTAAGATTCAGTTATTTCCCGCAATTATAAAATAAAACCTTAAGACATTTATCTATTTTGATATATTTATTGCTTAAATCTGTTGACCTTATAAGCTGAACTTGTTATTTAGTTTTTCACTTTGCATAACTTAAACATCATCATGTTACATGTTAATTCGTCGTTTAAATCCCTGCCTCTAAGTTTAGAACCTCATCTACCATTCCAGTGTATTTGGAAAAGTGTGCCTTGCACAAGAAAGCTCCTCCCTTGAATAAACCTTTGTTGGGATTAAAGGTGCCCCTGGACTCTAGATTTGTTCTACTGCTTCAGACCAAACACGGCTGACCATCTGGATCTATCAGACCAGCAGTGAGGGATGTGGGTGAGTGACAGCTGGCTTTGAGACTGGGGGCCCAAAATACTCTCTTTGTATTAAGGGCGCCAGTATATGCGAGATACGTATGTTGTCGAAATCTGCTTGAGTTATTCAGGAAGCCATAGCTATCCCTTCTAATACTGAATATGATTCAACGATGCACGTTTTCTAAAGACCTAACTCGTACTATCTCCACCAGAATATATATAGACGCGCTTCATGAAGTTGAAGGAAGGAGTCTTTTTTGTTGTTGTTGTTGTTCAGCCGCACAGTTGAGTCCGACTCTTCGCAACCCCATGGACAAGATCTCGCCAGGCCCTCCTGTCTTCCGCCGTCCTCTGAGGTTTGCTCAATTTCATGTTCGTTGCATCTATGACACTGTCTAACCATCTCATCCTTTGCTGTCCCCGTCTTCTTTGACCTTCGATCTTTCCCAGCATCAGGGTCTTCTCCAGTGAGGGCTCCCTTCTCATTGGGTGGCCAAAGTATTAGACCTCACAAATCTTTCTAAAATTTATCTGGGCTTCAACGGAGGCCTTATGCACAAAGAACAGCAGAACCTTATGATGCCAACATCAACAATCCAACGTAGCATCGTTTTGGCATTCAGTACCCAAAGCAAACAAAATGAACTAGTTCTCCCCGTACTAAAGATGCTAAGAAGGCCTACTCTGCTGTTCTGGACATTTGACAAGTCTTTCCAAAACCAGTTTCTGTCGCCTTCTTTTTTGTTATTTTGTCATGACAGCAAAGACCAGCACCCTGCCCTACCTCATTCCTGCACCCGCAATACGTGCCTTTACCAGCTCCCCTTTTGAGTGTGGCGTCAACCTGCCCCACCGTGCTGCCAGCTGGTCTTGGAATGAAATTCTAGGACTTCTATTTTGGTGAACATTTTCACCTTTAAAGCCCTACATGGTCAGGGGCCTGCCTACTTGAGGGACCGCCTCTCCCCATATGTGCCCCAGCGAGCACTGTGGTCAGGGTCGCAACATCGCCTGACCCTCCCTGGTCCGAAAGAAGCTAGGCTGAATGTCACCAGAACCAGAGCTTTCTCAGTGGCGGCCCCAACCTGGTGGAATGAGCTCCCGGAGAACATCAGGGCCCTGCGGGACCTTTTACAGTTCCACAGGGCCTGTAAAACGGAGCTCTTCCACCAGGCTTTTGATTAGGAGCCGCCACTGATGAGTGTGCCCTGGAACATCGTCTGGTCTGAAATTTTAGAACACCCTCAGGCATGAGATTCCGCTGGACGCTACCCCTATCGTTGGATGGGATTTGGATTACCACCCTTTCTGTTGGGTTAATTGCAACTGGTGTTGTTTTAAGTGGTATGGTAGTTATTAATTGTTTTAACTTGGTTGTTTATGCTATTTTAATGTTGTTAGCCGCCTTGAGCCAGATATCTGGAAGGGCGAGATATAAATAATAAACAATGAAATAAATAAATAAATAAATTCTTACCAAATTAATCAGCTGAGTGTGGACAATGTCTTCTACCAGCACTGCGGAATCATGGAGAGGCCTGCGAGCATCCCCCAAGGAAAACCTGAAAGGCAATTATTTTGAAAACATTAGTTGGTGTTACCAAGGGTCATTAAAAGAAAGGGCGGGAATATTCCATAAAGAAGCAGGATTTGACTATGTAGTGCAAGTGAATCAAAAGAATAATTGCATTACAGATTCAATTAAAAAAAAACCCATACACAATATATCAATCATGAAATTATAGTCCATCAGCTCCCACAATGGGGATTCATAGAGATGCCAGCTCCAGGTTAGGAAATTCCTGGAGATTTGGGGGTAGAGCCTGCAGAGGACAGGGACCTCAGTGGGGTACAACGCCATAGAGTTCTTCCTCCAAAGCATCCATTTTCTCCAGGAGAAATGATCTCTGTATGGAGATAAATTGTAATTCTGGGTGGTCCCCAGGTCTCACCTGGAGGCTGGCATCCTTAGGATTCCAGTAGCTTTCTACCTTTCCCCTCAACCCTAAGCAGAACTGTTAATACTTTCTTCAAGTGCTGAAGATTATTATGTGTGGTGGCAATCGTAACAGCTCTACAGAAGGGCACAGTCACCTTGCTGTAAAAAAAAAGGGAGCCCAAGTCCATATTTTACCGATAATGTTACACAAGCCTTTCCCTGTATTCCCTTTAAATTAGCGGCACAAGTGCCAAGGGGTGGAAGAGTGTATGCAAGAGGGAGGAATGCAGTGCACAAGAGCAGAGCAGAACACGGAATGTCCAATCTGCTGGAATTTTTTTGCCAAGGCAGAAGTTGTGGCGTGAGGCTTTGTGGCCTATGGCCACCACGGAAGCCTTAGATGCCAGGGCAGGTAGCAGTAGGCTTGCCATTCCCCAGGTCTGGGCAGCGAATCCCCCAGGTTTGGGGGTTTCTGCCTGCTGCTGGCCAGCTGGGGAAACCCCACCCACAAAAAGCAACGTCCCTGATGTGATGACATCACCCAGAAGTGACTTCACCGTGTTGGGAACTTTGCATGGCAACACTCTGGTTTTGGGGCATAGATTTTACCATAGAGTTTTGCCCAAAAAACAGAGTGTCGCCCCTGATGTTGCAGCCCCCGCCCCCAAAACACATGACGTGCTTTGGCGTGTGTGACGTGTCTGCAATCACATTGTGCACGTTGGGGGCGGGGCCACAATCACCTGAGGGAAAACCATAGAGTTTTCCCTTGGATAATAGAGCATCCCCCCACAACGTGCCTTCCGGGCACATTACACACGCCGAGCACATCACACGCTTTGGGGGTGGGGTCCTCCCACCGGCCCAATCTCAGCCGGCGGGCGGGGGTTTCCCCGCCCCTCGGGGTGACTTGGCAACCCTAGTAGCAGCCTGTGGGAAGTGGATTAGATGATGGCTTGGCAGTTACCGGGGTGTGCTGCTAGGAAAGGTTGAAAGCAGAAGGAAATAGGAAGACCCAACATGAGATGGATTCACTCAATAAAGGAAAGCCATGACCTTCAGTTTGCAAGATCTCAGCAAGATTGTCAAGGATAGCACATTTTTAAGGACATTAATTTATCGGGTCAAATAAATTAGAAGCTATTTGACGGCACTTAACAAACACACACATACTGAGGCCTATGCAGTTGGCTGTTAAGAGCAGAACTGGTGCTGGCAAAAGAATGATGAGAGAGAAAATTGTCGTAGTAATATACTGCAATTGGCTGGTGATTGCTACTATTAAATTAAACTACTCCACTCCTCCTCTCTCTCCCCAACTGGCATAAAAAAACTGATAATCTACTAAATGGTCCTCCAATTCATTTGAGTTTTATTATCCGGCTCTAAACTTTTTCTCTAGGGACATCTCGAAGAAGCTCTTCAAATCTAAACAGGGAGAAATAGAAACCTAAACTATTTGTTTAAGGGTCACATATGAATCTAGGCTGTTAAAAGGGAAAGATAATGGGGCCTAAACGCTGACCAGAACTATTGGTCAGAATAAAGTCACAACAGTGCCTAAAAAAAAATTACTAAAATGCAGAATGTCCTATTCTATGAAGATTATGGTGACTGCAAATGAATACTGGAAGCCTGCCTAGAAGAGAAAGTGTGATCAGATAAGCACTGTTTGAAGAACACTGATTATGGCCAGGCATTGACAGCAAAAAGCAACTGGGGAAAAGTGCATTTCAGGTCAGAGTCTCTGGGAATCCAATCTTAGCCGCTGAAATGGAATGAATGACTTAAGAGATCATCACCGCTTCTGAATGTACTTAGAGTAGTTACTTCCACACTCTCATCACAGTACTTTGTAGAATGGTTGTTTTTCTCTTCTGTATACAAACCAATGTGCCAGCATTTAAAGTTTCTTACATTTAATCAAAATGTTTGTGTTATTGTCTTTTTAGCGCTAAAGAGCTTCCAGATGGAACTCTTCTAGAGGCAAAGAAAGCCCTTCCTCGGCATCTGTGATATGAAACACGAAGCACGCTTTCTACAATACATTGTATTTCCATACCCTCCCGCTGTTCCGTTATACAAAAGTATGGCTTGGGCAGCTACGCACCAACATACAGTGATTATTACAAAGGGGGAATATCATTTTTCCAGCTGTGCCAACTGCTTCCCCAAACATAAAGCATGGTAGGGAAATAAAAGAATGAAAGCCCAGACATCCAGACACCGACAGTCTAATTAGGAATAGGCAACTGGTCATATGGGGGCTTCTCTCTGTCAGGTTCGTCAGGTTCTCCGTCAAATCACTCTCCACACACACCTTTTCAGTGAAAGGTTTTATAAGATATGGGATGCTCAGGGTTTGAACTCTTTGTCAGAACTGGGGTGCCAAGGCGGGAAAGGCACAGATAGTTACAATCCCACATTCCATTCGCACATGTCAGCTTTACTACAAAGACCATGAGAGATATACGGTCTATAACTAGCCAAACACAGACTCTTCTCCGAGGACACTTCCTGTGTGAAAAGTGCCTCTTGGGGTGGCATGGAAGATTTACTGAAGCTAGCCTTCCTACTACAGACACTCACTCCCCCCCCCTCAGGAATGCGATGGCAGGCAAGGGTAAGCGATAAGCACATAGCCATAGGACGGGGCGGGAAGAGGGAAGGAAAAGGTTACAGCAATCATCATGGCAGGAACACAACAGGTACAGTTGGTCAAATGCCCGAGCCTGACAGTTTTCCAGTTTCTGCTTTGGAGGAAGAACTCTATGGCGTTGCACCCCACGGCTAGAGTTGCCAGGTCCCACAATACAAAAACTCGTGGGCACCCCATGAAATTGCTCAGCAGTTGAGTTAGAACAGATAAAAGGAAGTACTTCTTCACCCAAAGAGTGATTAACACATTGCCACAGGAGGTGGCGGCGGCTACAAGCATGGAGGCTTCAAGAGGGAATTGGATAAACATATGGAGCAGAGGTCCACCAGTGGCTATTAGCCACAAGTTATAAATAGGAACTCTCGGTCTGGGGCAGTGATGCATTGTATTCTTGGTGCTGGGGGGGGGCAACAGTGGGGGGCTTCTAGTATCCTGGCCCCACTGGTGGACCTCCTGATGGCACCTGGTATTTTTGGCCACTGTGTGACAGAGTGTTGGACTGGATGGGCCATTGGCCTGATCCATCGTTGGCTTCTCGTATGTTCCCCCTGGGGGTGGAGGGTAGGGTTACCAGTTCCACGTTGGGGAACTCCTGGAGATTTGGGGGCAGAGCCTGGGAAGACAAGGACATCAGTGGGGTACAATGCCACAGAGTCCACCGTCCAAAGCATCCAGCTTCTCCAGGAGAACGGAACTCGGTAGACTGGAGATGAGCTTTGATTCTAAGAGAACTCTGGGTCCTACCCAGGGCACAGCCCTCAGACTCCCCTCCCTGCCAACATATGCTTCAAACAAAGGGGTCGACCTGTCAGATACCTGACAAACGGAGCTTTGACTTTCAACATTTTATACCCCGAAAATCTCGTTGGTCTCTAAGGCGCTACTGGACTCGAATCTAGGTCTTCTACTGCAGACCGACATGGCTGCCCTCTGGAACTGTGTTATCAGGTGAATCCATTAGCTCTTCTTCTACGCAAAATATGGTTTTGCGACACCAAATCCTTTCTAATTTCTCTTGATTGAAAATGTAGGCAGGGCACAAAAATGCCCTTACTCCATATGGTCTCTGGGATTATTGTTCACAGTTGGAATTAACTTGGCTGCTTTTGCTTAAAACAAAAGCTGTGAGCTTTGCTCTAAGGATGTTCTTCATACCCTAAAAAAAAGTCCCTGACTCTTCAGTCACATGGACTCAGTCTCCGTTTTGCTGTATGCAGCACAATCCACAGCGGTCAAGGACCAAGCTTACGAGTGAGTTAAACCAGAGTTCTACACATCCAACTGAGGGACTACGCCCTGACCTGGATAGCCCAGGCAAGCCCAATCTCGTCAGATCTTAGAAGATAAGCAGGGCTGACCCTGGCAAGTAATTGGACCCGGGCAAGGCCAGGGCTCGGGATGCAAAGGCAGGCTATCAAGCCACCTCTCTGCAAAACGTCCAAGCCCCCAGTAGGGGTCGCCAGAAGTTGCCATGACTTCCAAGCATGCCAGCACATGCACACACGCACACACGCACAAAATACCTCCCCCCAAAAAAACCTGAGGGACTACAAGCAGCTGTGACCTGATGCACAGACTAAATCTTCTTCAGCTATACCACTTTCCTCCAATAATGTATTCAGAAGGCAAAATCAATCACTATTGCTGGCATTTTAACATTACCTTTAAATTAACTTGCCTTTCAATCTCTCCTCTGCTTTCCCCACGTTACTTTGCCAGCTCGGCGTGACACACATGCTGGCAGGGATGGAATCAAAACCACAACGCATAACCACAGCCACTGTTTCCTCTTTTGCAATACAGGTCGATGCTTAAGCTTTTAATAAATGAGGAATCATAGCTGAATCTTCTGCCATTTCCCCCCCATCTAAATTCTTGACTTTGACTAATGGAGACTTCCTACTTAAAAATTTGAAGCCTGACCTTATGTTAACAAATGCCCGAATCCTGAGAAATTTAAGATT